TTTTTTTTTTTTTTTTGACGTTAGAAGTGTAGCTGCCTTTGATAACCAAAACTTCCGATCTAGAAAAACTAACTAGGAACTGTAACCGTTTATGCTCCGTTTTTGGGGTGAAGTCGTGACTCAGTTGTTAAGTTTCATTTGTTCTTACTAATAGCGCTTGACAGTCACCGTATTTGCAACATATAATTTACCAAGGAAAAATAATGCTGCAATCGCTATGCAACCATTAAGTAATCCCCATAATTGCTTTTCTTCCGCTATCTGATCATCCTGTAAAACGAAAACCTATCTATTATGGTTTCTTTTCTCTCCAACAGACTAAACTAAAATGTGAATTATGAGGACTGAACGATACGTTCTATTTAAAAATATTTTTAAGAACTCTAAAATTTGCACACCACATCGATAAATGTAATTGCGATAGCACTAACAATAAAACTATCCGATGAAATATTACGATTTAAATAAGACAAACTACTTGCACTCAGTAAAACATAGGAGGACGAGCATTAAATTGAACATCCAAAAAATGCTGTCTGTTCAAATAGACTATTGCCTCCATATTTGGCACAATCGATTCTGAAAAAATGAAATCTTAGAAACTGAAAAAAAAGTGTTCTGTAAGTTCATTATGATGAACTTCATTTTAATAATAACAAATGAAATAAAGCTGACTTGGATGTTGAAAAAAGTGATGCATTTTTGGAACTTTTCAAAATATGCAAGCTAACAAATCCGTATATGTTCATGACGACAATTTGCAGTCATGATTGCAGTGCCGCTTCCTGCACATCCATCAAATATAGCAAAGAAGGCAGCCTTCGTTTTTTCTATTGTTGGACCAACGATACTTTATGATAATTATTGTATTTTGCGCGAAAAGTAGGAAAATACTTAGATCTCCAAAATATATTTGCTAATAAAGTAAAAAGTACATTTAATTACTCAAATCATTTTGCATTTGCTATGCATTTCGATATTAGTCATAGGTTTCTCGACCTGTACAAAAATCAGCAATATCAATTTTAACGTGGTATTTATTTACTTTGATCGACTAGAGCAGGCAACACTCTGATGTGTAACTTACGGGTCATTTATCTGCAATATTTCCAAAAAATTTACGAAGAACTTAATGCAGGAAAGAATTCAAAAACGATATTTGTTATTTGGAAATGTAAGATTAAATAGTTTGACATTAAAAAAAATTGAAACGAAAAAAGCATATCAAATGAAACAGATGCTGACTGGCAAATCAACATACGGAAATGCATTTTCCGGGAAGTGCTATTAGATTATCGTTCGTATCCGCTTTACCACAATGGTATTTCGAGTCCAATTCTTGAGAAATTCTTCTGCCGTAGGTAAAGAATGTTTTTCACCTTCTGTTCGTTACTATAAACCATAATTACTGGAAATTTCTCACCTAATAATGCACTCTACACTAATTTTTTCAGCAGGCTTTCAAGTATTAACTTAAAAACTCAGCAGAATTCAAGTACTGTCCTTTTCGGAAATCCTAAACTTACATGAAATTCGTTTTGCGATAGGTCTTGTCTGAATCTTTTATCCTCCACTATGGGTATAAAGAAATTTGTTGTGCATTATCTAGTCACTATAAAGGCCGTTTTTTGTCAACCTCAACTGTGGTGTGATCCGGTTGAATTCTGGATATATGATTTCATGTAAATGAAGTAGAATCATCAAAGTGGTTTGCGATAGACTATCTCCTTCCTGATTTACATTTTTGATTTTCCAATGAAAAGAGAGAAAATACATTTTTCTCCATTTTCGAACTGTACGATTTTGCACTTTATTGTCGTATATTTGATAACTTCAACTTTTCAAATATGCTACAAAAAAAACGAAGCTTCCAAGTAAAATAATAGGAAGAAGAAGGCGATTTTGATGAAGGAAGGTCAAGGATCAAGTTTTCCCTACTTGTTATCGGCACTTTGTAATGAACATCACAGAACACCCAAATATATATCACGAGTTTAAAAGATCGTATTACACTTACGCTTCATAAGAAAACAATGGCATCCCTTTGAATTGAAAATCTGAAAGATAGGCTATACATGATGAACATAACTATCAAATCATGAGGATCCTCAGCGTTATATCTCTTCTCTATCAAATTCAACAGTTTTACTGATGCTTGATTTTTGTTTTGAACTGCTTTCCTTGATCAGGATTGATTTGCTGTTTACTCGATAGTATGATAGAAAAATTCATAAAGTTCCATAATTTCCAGCAAACTTCTCGCTGCATCCAGTAATTTATTCTATTATATTTTTTCGAAACAAAATAAAAAAAAAAACAAATAGTAAAAATAAAAACGGAATTAATGAACTGAACGTTGTTTAGTTGTTTACCAATGCTGATTACTTCAGCGTAGCCAACGTACGCTGGCATTTTAAATGGTTCCTTCGGACACGGAACTGGACGAGTTGATTGATCTGCTGACCGAATTTCTTCGTCTGGAAAGTGTAAAAATTCGGGTCGAACACAGATAGCGAAATTGTTGCAATTTAACTATAACTGAAAGTTACACATGTCTAGTTCCTGAAAAGGTTTAGAAAGCAGTGGTCATTCAATTTTATACGATAATAATATTTTTATTCGAATACCATTGTTTTGCAAAAAAAAACGAAGTGTTTTACCAGAAAAAAAATGAAGTTTAATTTGACAGTATGAGGTTTTTTTTTATCTGATAGTATACCATCAAAAATGCCGATTTCTTTGATAGCAATTCCTAGGCCAATTTGAGCATCATTTCGTGAACTCCCCTGATTGTTGTCGTTCAATGCGCTGTAGGCCCCAACTGCAGAACGAACTTTTGCTGGCATTTGCTTAAAGTGAAAATTCAATAACATCTTTTATACTTGCATGGTTTTCGTATATATTATATTCAGTAGCTTTGCGAATTGCAAACGTTTTTTATTCTTTCGAAACGGTTATAGAATTTAAAAAAACACGCACACATACACAGAGTTAGGCGTGTGTTTTCGAGATACTGGGATGAAATCAAAGAGTAGAATGGACAAAGTGCGCCTTTCTTTAAACAGCACTCATTTGGTCGACTACAACATTTTCATAGATGCAGCAAAAGTGAAATGATAAGTAAACAGTATGAAAAGGCCACTTAGACATTTGAGCTGACGGTTAGTTTTTAAAACAAGAACTAGAAAGTAGCATCAGAACGACCAACTTCTGATACTATTTATCCTTCACTGTCCCTCACAATCCATTGTAAACAAATAAGACATAGGAGAACTCGTAAAAAAATTGTCGAATAAATGAAAGAGAATAAACTGAGTCAAGGTGTGAAAGAAGTAATAGTGATCCTGAAAAATTAACAGTTGCACGGCGAAAGTATTACTGAAACACAGGAAATCTCGAAACATATTATTATTGTTATTATTATCATTATTATTATTAAATAATAATGCTGATATGGAGAACATGAAGGAAGGTAGAACAGTAAATTGAGTAGGATATTCAAAAATTCAACAAAAAGAGAATTTATAAAGCTGCTACTGCTTTTTGTTGAAAATAAAATCGGGGTCAAAAAAACAGCGGAAATAGGCATGTATAAGCAGGTGGTAATGAAATGGATCGGATATCAAAAACGAGCGATGGGTAAGGCTCGCGATTGCGGAAAATGCCGGCTATGCATAGTAAGGGACCATGGCGATTGCAGACCTGAAAATTTTGACAAGGAAGCATTAAAATCAGTGTCGTGGTTTGGAGAAGGAAGCCATCTGGTAAAAAAAAAGAATAAACGAAACTAAAGAAACAGTGCATTCGCCAAATATGATCTTTTTGAGATTGCAAATATTTGTGTTTGTGAAACTTGTGAATATCGGATTTTTTAAAGCTACTGACTTTAATTAAGTTTAATTTCTATAAATATATAAAAGTTGTGGAAAAAGGCGTAAACCTGCCCGTTTAAGAAAAATGAAACTAGAACTCTTGGCTCTCCTTATTATTTCCTGAAGCACAGAGTAGAAGAATTACTCTCAACATTAATTGTCCTAAGTTACTAACATTTTTCCGCAAATCCTTTGACCCTGCCAGCATTACGATTAAAGTAGATGTTGGCAAAAGTTGTTATCTGAGACGGCACTTCTACATGTACTTGTCGTTCAAGAGTTTGTTTCCTAGAAATGTGGATATGAATGCTTGTTCCCTTATCAGTAGCAGAATTGAAAATTATGAAATGAAAAATGAAAATTTGAAGTGCTTTGTTCTGAACTCATACATCTTTCAATTGCAAGTACGCGACACATTCTTAAAATTATGCCTATAGTCGAAACTGCTAATTCTATAACATTTCCAGTCAGGAAATGTGTAGTTCCAAAAGAGGAAAAAGCGGAAATATCGATATCTTTTCTTCTGTGTTTTTGAATCATGTCAAATGGGTACATTTGTCCACTTCATCTATTGTTTTTATTTCTACTGAGCAAGTTATGTACTTCTTATCTGGTACATTCTCCTCTAATAGCTGCTTACATACATCCGGATTGCAACATTTCAATTTTTCCGCCATCCTTTAACTTCTGCTTTAGTTATGTTTTTGCTTTTCAAAAATTTTCCACTTCCTATTATTTAACAGTTTGAATGGTGAAGATTTGTATTTCAAGAATTTTACTTCCTTCCCAATTTATCCTGCTTCCGATTCTGATGATTTTAAATGGTTTCCTCTTTTCAAGTTGTCATAACTAAGAATAACGATGAGAATAAGTAGGAGCTGGCTGAATGCGATAAACTCTTACATATGCAACCAGTCTTTGCATCGCCCAGGAGTTCTTACGATACACTCCTGGATCCTTGATGTTATCGATTTTTTCTAGCTCACTGGTTGCTCTTCTTCCCTGTACAGTCAGCTGCAGATGTTTTATAGTTCTGCGATTACTTCTTGGATTCTGATGTTGCAAGTTTTTTTTTTGCGTTTTCAACTGTGGATGTGTTGCAGATACTGTAGTGACGAATAAGGGTACAGAGACGAAGCAGACGTTAGTAGAATCAGGATTGCCGTAAGAAATTTGCTTGCAGGTTTATGCTTCGCTTCAAGGTTTGAAAAATTCCACCGCAAACCTGCATGAATATCCTAGCTATCTAGTAATTTACATAGGTCTCTTGAGCAACTGATCCCATCAATTGAACTGATCTCGATAAACTTCCACTTTTGACTATACCTAAACTTCAGGATCTTTTAATCAAAAATTTAGTTTTTAACATATTAAACCTAGGTATTATCCTTATATTCATTCAAAGCTTTTTTCCAGCTTTTCATTACTACAAGCTCGATTTTCTAATCAATTTAGGAAGTCGATAGACTCTTGTGTACTTTATGTTGCAAATGTTAGCATCAGCTAACGATTCCTGCTTCGATTTTTTTTTCTGGAAATTTGGAACGTTAATCGGATTTTTGAGTTTCAGTTCGTCTTGTGCCTCATCAAAATATAGATTTCGATTACAGATTAAGCAAAGTCAATGTTTTCGGAAAGGTAAATTTATGTTTTTCTAAGAACTCGAACTTGGTTTCCAATCTAGAAATAAACTATATTCAGTTTTGATTTTCTACAACTTTTTCAGCTTAGAACATGATTAATTCATAGACCGCGGTTAATTGAAGGAACAGTTTTGAATTTATGACTTTATTATTGATATGAACATAGAATTTTGTCTTGCTTTGATTCCTCATACCAAGAAAGAAGAAAGAGAGGTAAAACAACTTAAACTTATGATGAAGCTTCAAGGTTGTCAGTTTTAGTTATTCTTGCATGCTTTTTTGTTGTTTGTATTGTTTTAATTGGAGCTATTGTCCTCACCGCAGAAAATATCGAATGCTCATTGTTATTTAGCGCAACGAAACGATTAAATGAAGAACCAGAAATCGGAGGAGTTCCAAAAAGATGTCGTAGAACTCCAGGTGTTACGCCTTTTAAACAAGTCGAAATCTGTGAGTTGGAAATTGGGATCACAAAGTTTTTTCTGCATTATTCTGTAGCTTATTAATAATTATTTTGCATATATCTCGCTTGGAATTTGCTTCAGAAACAATAAAAATATCTACGGAATGCTTTGTTTCATCCCTCTATTTTCCTTCCCTCGCCCCTGCTCCTCTCATTTGTCATCACCCCTACCTTCAATGTTGAAATAGTTAATAAGGGAAAATTAAGAACTGCTGAAAACAGTACACGCGTCAGTCGCGCACTGTCATTACGATGATCCATTCAAACATGGAAGACTCGGGAATGCTGTTTTTGAAGCGTTAAGTGGACAAAAAACGATGAAAGCGGCTGCTACTACACATAAGGCTAATTATTATGCCATTCTAAATCACTAAAATCTTGAAACTCTGAGAAGATTTGGTATCATCATTGGAAATTATGTCAGATTTGAAAGTGAACGTTAGGTTTGATCCATAAAGTGCGATTCTACCTCTTTATTTCTTTTTTCTTTCAATCTGAATTTTTCAACTACCTATCCATATTTTAGTCTAATTTGTTTCTAAGTGTGGTAATAAAAAGGAATCCATATTACCTTTTTGTACAAGTTTGTTTAGCTGAATTTTATTTTGATAATTATTTTGCCTGCCAAACATTATATGGCAAAAGAACATTTAGGAGTACACAAAATAAGAAACTTGAAAAGTTTCATCAGATTAGTTTCAAGATCAAAGTGATTTCGAGACTTTTCAGGTGCCATTTACAACTTTGCAAACTTATTTCCATCGTTCACGAGCTCGAATGGCAAAAATAATGAGTGATAATGACGATGCACTGCCTGAACAGATTCAGATCCCCGTGTCTGTAAGTTTCATGGATTGATTTTACGCAGAATGCAAACTTTTAACCAGGAACACTTTTATCTTAAATCTGGATAGATTGTGTAAAATTTAGGCTGTATCGCTTCGTAACTCCATCGTAATGACAGTTTTGTATCCATTCTACTTTCAACATTTTTGAAACCGCATTTTAGCTTACCCTTACTTCGTCCGATATGCGCAGCGCGCTCGCAGAAGAAAAAGTGTCTCCAGTGGAATCAAAAAAATCAAAGCGATTGGATTCGTTGTTGGATGCTGTTGTGGGTAAAGTGGTGGAAAGTGACGCCTGGGTTAACGGTAGCCCAGAACTTGTTGAATTGTTATTGATTAAAAAAATTGCGGAAATATGTGTGATATAAAAGTTATCATGCAAATAAACCTATTGGCGCAAGTTAACTGCTGAAATAGCCTTCGGTTCACCATGAACTTCAATTGATTAAACGGCTTTAAATAACGACAGCTGATTCAGCTACCTCGTGTTGACATATTATTTTAAATGTGAAGGCTGCTTTGGAGCTGTGAATTTGCAGGAAGTTTACCACCCTCAGATTTTGCACCTCGGAAACTGGGTTCTAGTAAAAGAAAGCCAAAAAAAGTTCATCGAATAACGCCAGCATTGACAACAGGAAATGAAAGTCTAGAGGACTGTGAGTTACAAGGCTGGCTTACTGAACAACCACAAGTACTTTTCCAAGACTTTTCAGTGTTTTGTCCTATTAATAGTTTTAACAAAGCATCCACTTTCATATTAAAATAATTTCTTCAAATCCTAGGAACATCATTGTATGAACGAACTTTTCCCTTTTTATATATTTTTTCAAAGATTTTCATAAAATGCAGAGTGGTCCTACTAAAAGTATTACTGCCAAATCGGACAGAATAACAATGGAGTACAGTAAGGAGGAAGTGATGGCAATAATCAGATCTGTGATATCGGATTCTTCTCTGGATGAGAATACCAAAAAATCAGTGGAGGCTATAATGAATGGAATACTCGACAAATCGCTGTATACTGATGTAAGTTGCCAGGTCTCATTGCTTGTTAGTTTTTCTATACTCAAAAAAAATTTCGTACTCTCGAAAAATGAATTTTGTTACAGGTCATTTCCCTGATTTTACTTTTTTGCAGGATACCTGTTTGGATCATGCTTTCGCAGAGTCCAGTACTTATCGACTTGAGCAGCTTTTGAACTTTCCAGATAGAATGCTGCATAAAAGTATGTTTTTAACTACGTTTAACTTCTTTGAGCTGATTGATTTTTCAGTTTCACTGGTGTCATCTGACCTTCTGCATATCTTATCAAGTTCAGGTCCTTCGTACCTGAAGTTTCTGACGTTAATTTCTGCTAGTACTCCTGAGCAGTTTCAGATGAAATTGATTTTGAGGAGGTTGTTGGAAACGAGAGTCACGTACTATGTTTATTATCTGAGTTGCAAAACTGTGAATGTTTGGATAAGATAGAAGAGTGCGTAAATGAATCGCATTACCCAACTTTGCGGAAGAAAACGTTCCGTAAAGCTGTCGCAATGTTAGTCCTTTTCATTAGTAGTAAAGAAGAAATCTTTAAGAAACGCTTGACGAATTACATGCCTAAGGTTGGATTAAGATATAACTCGAATTTTCAAATGGTCTAGGACATTCGTAAATTTGTATGAAATAAATTTAGGGTAATTCGTGGCGAATATAATGTTAGTGGAGCAGCAACTATCATGGTATTTCCTAAATCAATTGTGCATCCTTATGTACATCGTGCACGAGCTGCACTAAGGACCTTTTTGCCACAATAAGCTGGTTAGTGCAGTGTTTTCAATAAATGTTAGAATTGAGACAAAATTTGTAATGAATTTAAAATCAATATCATCCTCTTTATATTAAACCAAATTTGACTGTAAAGTTTTTCCAACTCACCAATTAGTATAAACCTTTTTTTCATATTTCAACTCAGTTTCCATTTCACAATTTAATTAAAGTTGGCAAAATTTTGACTACTTTACCATCAATAACTTGGATTTTCAATTTAGGGCAAATTTCCGACTATTTTATATCTTGAAATTAATTGTTTTCATAGGCTTAGATTGTGGTTATACTTTTAAATCACTTCTTTTCAAAAGTGCTTCACCATAAAATTCTAAGTACTTATCTTTTGTTCTAATTTGTGATGCTGGATTTAGACAAAACTTTGGACGAAGAAACAGCAGCTGATAAATGTATTCTACGCGGTAGTTCTATTTCGAAGGAAGTTGAGGTAGTGATCTCAGATCTTATGAAAATTTCATCGTACAACCTGGATGCACAACAAAAATTTTACGATGCACTTTCCGAAGTTTGATTTAATTTCTGGCTTTTCTTCCTGGTATCATCCTTATTAAAGGCGGTACAGTGACTAAAAAGGTGATTATGCTTGAATGATCAAAGTACTCCATCATCGCAAATCCAACAAACCTAAATTACTGGTGCTAGTATTTAGCTGTCAAGATTAATTATCTCCCCTATTTCGTGTAGGCAGAATTTAGTGTGTTTGTAAAATTATATTGCCATTTAGCTGCTTCAAAGTCACACCTATAAATCAGTACTTACAATGATAGACCATTTTCAAAGACTGTTGGATTTTAAATTCATAACATTCTTTGATTAATTTGCTGATTTATTTAATTGTTTTGAATGCGAAATTTATTTAGACGAAATATTAATCTCTTATCTTTGAAGGTTTTGACGAAAGATGTTCCAGTCGCGGAAGTTTCCAGTAAATATGGGATAGCAGTTGATGCATTTCAACCGTATATTACGGAAGCTCGCGTGCTGCTTGGACAATCACCCTATTCAACATCATCTAATATCAGGGTTACTTTATTTCATGACGTTAAAAAATAACGAACTTCACTTCATGAAATCTTGAATAATATAGAATTTTGAACGGGATTGACGTAATACCACGGGTAATAATAGCTTCCAAGTCAAAATTCTCTTTGGTTAAATCAAGACTTGTTTCAGGAAACATCAACGGAGTTGGACTCAGAATTACCGAATGGTAGTAGGAAATATGCAGATGGAAAAAATCATTTCGACGAAATATTTACAAACATCGAACTTCCACTGAAGGACATTTCTGGTGATACAGTCTTTACAAGTAAGGCTTGTAATGACTTCTGGACCTAAGGGTTTTCGAACAAGTATTGTGCAAAGTGTTCTGAATTCTCCAATAGTTATTTCAAAATATAAAGCAAGGGAAAAGTTAAGTGTTCCACAAAATTCGTGAAGACTGCAGTAATCCTCATTAATGAATTTGTTTTACATCTCAGTGCTGCCTAAATATGCAACAGTAATTGTTACTAGAAATACATCTCGAAATAATTGATAAATTATTCTACTTCATATATATGAACTACTGTAACATTTTAGCTTTCGTTGCTGTCCATCCAACAAATATGGCAAAAGATTTTTCAAAACACGAAAAACGATATGATACGGGAAACTTGTTGACGAAAGCATACCTGCTTTCGTCAATGACAGCCCTCATACTGTTGACTCGCTGAATAGCGCAGTCAGTGGTCTTAATAGTGGCAGTAACGAATTTGATGATGCTGGAGTTTTCTTTTTTTTTCTTGTCTACTTGAAGTATGCATTGTCATGGGATCTTTTCTATTAATAAAGCTTAGAAAGATAAATGTTGAGTTTTAGATCAGAAAAATGAAAATGGATATAATCCCATATGTTGTGTTATAATTGGATCAATCCTGTAAGCATTCAACCTCTTGAATTTCCAGCTAGCCATGTCCAACCAAGTACAACTGGAATTCAATCTAGTCGCAGGAGACTAATTGGAAATATGAATGCTTCAAATCCTGAAAAAATAGTACCATCAATAAAGAGTACTTTTGTTTTACGTAGTGAAACTGGCAGTGATGTTAGCGATAATGAATTTGATGGCTGTTAGTCCTTATGTTTTCTACCCTAAAATTTTATTCAAAATTTCAAATTAGAAACTTGACTTTTGTGTTTCCCAATCATTACCTTATATTTTGTAACCATTTCAGTACTGATGTACATGTTTGAGATTTTTTCAGTGCCACGTTCGATTCGAGGCGTAACAAAATTCTTCCCGATACAAAGCTGGACAAAAAATTAAGCAGAAAAGACTATAGCGGAAAGCCGAAAAATTTGGCTGTTAAAATAGACAAGGTGATTTTTGCATTCTTTTAAATTACAGGGCAAAATTTTCATAAATAACGAAATCTTGCAACTTTGCGAATTCATTTCTAAACTTGGAGGTGAAAAATTTTCTTAGGTCTTGCACCTTTATCGTTCTCGCGGTGATCGTAAAAAAATGCGCAATGGAATTCTCGAAGTTTTATGTAAATCGAAAACTCTTAGTGAAGCTTGTAAAAGGAATAGTTTGGCGCCAACAATGTTGAGTACCTATGTTCGTCTATTAAAAGTGCTCATCAGTGCTGAGAAAACTGTGATCTTTCTGTTTCTTTTTTCCTCGAAAATTCTCGGAGACACTGGTTATTTTTTTTGTGGATATTTCCTTTGTATTTCTTAAGACTTTTCTGATTTTGGGTGTTATTTTTTGAGCATGACTGTCGATTCATGCGCTGTTTTTATGCTTGCTTTTTTATATCATTGCTAAATATAAGTTGATTTACTTTTGAGAAATTCTTTTTTTTTTTTATTTACTTTTACTTTTCTATTTTTTTTTTAAACAAATTTTTTACTTCCAAGTATATGTTTTGCAGCAGCACTGTAAAAATGGAACGGTAGAGGGGAAATGGTGTTAGAAAATGACCTCTCCCTTTTTCGTTCGAAGGGTACATAAAGATTAGTTCGACCATTGTCACTATAAATTACTGTAAAAGTAAGCAAGGATGAAAATGCACTCAGTGGTAATTTGGTACTAAAAAGTGAATCACGGAAGGGGAAATTCTGCAATGAATCACCTGGGAAGGTGCTATATGAGAGTTATGATGATTATGGTATATATCTGGTTTTTCTCAAACATTCGTTTCTGTATAGGAGTTTCTCCTATGGTTGATTTTTCATTTATTGATCCGTAAGGATTTTTATAGTTTTAATCCATAATTCTGTTCAAATAAGAAAAGACGAACTCTTTAAAATCGGCTTTTATTTATCTATTATATTTACCTATACGGCTTTTATTTACCTATTATGTATTATATCTGTATATTTGAAGGGTGTAAATGGAAAACCGGTCACAGCTTCGTCATATTCAAATGAAATTATATCCTCAAACGTTGAAAATGGCCAGGATTTTAACATATTGTCAGTCAAATCAACAAACGATACATATTTTGAGCAGCTGACGAAAAAGTAAACTTGGGTTTCAAATTTTTATACCGGCTTTATTTGTATTTCTTAGATTTCAAAAAATTTACAAAAGACCATCAATTTTAGGCTGGTATTATATACTTATATTCTGTCATTATTTCTGATTTCTTCAAATCTGGATGTGGGTAGCATTTTAGTGAAGGAATAGTTTTCTTAGTTTATCTTACATTGATAAATGGGATATGAGAGCTGCACTCTTGCTGTTATCCAAATGGCTATAAAAGGTTTTAACTTATGCTTTTTCTGAGTTGAATTATGTCATTCACTGAAGGCCTTAAGGAATGTCAGTTTATCGAAAAGTATGACATTTCGTGGTTTATCAGATTATGGGTCTCGAAAAGTATCGTAGCACCTCATTAACGATGGAATAGGATGTTATGGATGTGAATATAGATTTTTGCTGTTTTTTCATAGTATTAAATTCACGTTATCCCAATTCTCGAGAAACATGCTTTTGTGGATAGAAATTTTTGTTGTCCTTTACCGAAAGAGTTTCAGCGAAGCCTTCCTATGGAGTCGACTAGTTCGACAGAAGAAAACACAAAGATTGATATGTGATGATGTTACATATGAAACCGATAATGAGTAATTTGGAAAGTTTCTACAAAGTACTAATTGCTTACCTTATCGAACAACAATATCGACGATCTGAAGAAGCGCAAGAAGTACGATGTTCTAGTGTCCAGTTTTCTACAGATCATATATTTATATTGCTCACAAAAAATGTCATACAATCTCTTCCAAGTTTCCCACTTCATAATTTTTTTCATCTACTTTTTTTTTCAATAAATGGAAGTGGTGAATGTTTTGGAGTTTTGAAATTTTCAGAATTTTTTTCATCTGTAAGTCAGTAATTGCAGAAGATGCGTGCAAGTTTGGAATATGTATTACTCGACGGCTTCTCGGTTACTGAAGTTTTGAAAGTTCATAAAAGTCCAGCGGAACATGTTTTACAAGTAATTTTTCTTCAAATTGGAAAAAATCAGTAACATTGCTTCTTTTTCTGATTGATATAACTGATTTATAAGTGGAGCTGAGTATATTCAGAAAAGGTGGAGATTTGAAGTTTTGCATGTTTTAAATTCGCCGCTATGAAATTGTTGTAGAATGAGCCTATGATTTTTAAGCAGACAGGGATATTATTAGTAGACGATCGTCACTGTGGTTCCCGGAAATGACGTTTCTATTATTTACGGTTTTCTGAAACTTCCACATTGTCTTTACTTGTATAGTATCGGATTTTACTAAACCACTGCTCTTTTAGTAATGATGATGATGAATTATTTATCTTCAACCTCATTTGTGCCCCCTGTTCTTTATCATTTTCAATTTGAAATACCAGACCTGCGAATTTTTAAAGCGACTTATTAATTACTGATAGCAAAAAGTACGAGGATAAAGTCTGGATAGCTTGGCAAAGTACAATGCTGGAGAATTATTTTTAATGGTTGATTCCTTGCAGGTTTATCTAAGTCGATGTTGTCAAGCCCATAAGT